AATAATAATAATAATAATAATAATAATAATAATAATAATAATAATAATAATGAAAAGTTCACCAACTTCTCGACATTTCGTCGTATGTCACATAAAGATGCATCTCCTCGTACAATCAATGCAGCACCTAATACCATTCCGCTTAGTGGATCTCCTTTTATAAGTTGGTTTGTCCGAGCCCATGTTCCAGATAAAATATCATCTACCCTGTTGAAAAATTCCTCGTTATGCAAGAAATTTGACCCATAAGAAAATATGAATCTTTTAAAACAGGCCTGCACAACTCCTGCTCCCGCAGGCATTCTGCATTTACAAGCCAACTGTCTGCCCACTAGAGCGTCGAAAGTGCAAGTAGTAGGGGGTTTAGCGAAACACTATATTTGTGATTACATCATAGCAAAGCGAATTACATTATCAGGCCTATAAGCAATTATAATATTTGGTGTCCAAATCAAATATGTTTAATTTGTTGTAGTTCGTCATATCGACAACAAACATTTCCAATATAATACAAAAGGCAATATTACTTGAACCGTATGTGACTGTCATGTTCTCGTTGATTGCTCTTTCAATTTACGTGCTATGATTCAAATTGCGTGTTCCAATTGGTGGTCCCCATTTCTAGACTTTGCTTCATTCCCACCCTTCAAATTTCTCCACATTTTCACGCCAGTGGCTTGCGCAACTTTCAATGTCAATCGAAGTGCAAAATGCTGGACAGACCACTTTTAAAATGAGTTGTTTATTGAAATGGTAATTACAAATGATTTTGCTCACTCAGAATTTGTGGCTACTTATGTATTCAACTACATTGAATAATTACATAAAATAAATATAAATACAAACTGGAATTATTTTTTAATCGTGATAATATGATGAGAGCTTTGAAAATTTCTGACAAATTTGAAGGGTGCAGCAAAATCGTAAATTTTTTAGTGATTTAATAGTATTTAAAGAGATCATTCCATGTGCAAAATTACATCCATCAGAGATTGAGAATCTGCTAAATAATAATTATACTAATTTGTTCCATCTGATTCCATTTTTAATTTAATATATTGTAAGTTCAATCATGACCATCTACTGTTTGTACCTATTAGAAATATAGTTTAATAGGCAGGTTCTCCCATCTTTTGAGTTATGTATCACAGCAAACCAAAAATTGTTTGGAGATATACTGACTTGATTAGTAGTGCAAAGCAAATAATGTTGCTGCACTTGGAAAACTTGCTACAAGCACTTTTTATGTTCATTTTAAGAAGCAAGGAATTACTTAGAACTGTACCTTCATTATAATAATTATAACATTTTAATAACTCACATGATAGAAAGAAAATAATTATTGGAGAGCATTTTATATACCCATAAAATTGTAATTTTTACTGCTGTTTCACATTTTACACGTCTGTTTTTACAGGCATGATGATGATTATGTTTATTGTAAAATATAATTGGTGTTAATTTCATAAATGGAAGAGTCACTTAAATTACCTGTAAGTGCTCCTGGTAGTGAGGCTTCATGTAATACTCCTCATAGGACTGGGGACACTGGCTAGTAGAAAATGCATACAAGGAAATGGTAACCAAACTAGTAGCTTTTCATTCATTTCAACATTAATGAACCCGGAAAGCGAGCACTCTGTAGAAGTAAAATATATTAGAACTAAACTAGTTCTTTACGAAAATATGGCAATAACTTCAAAAAAAAGTCCCTTGTCAGATGAAGAAGCATATAACAATTATATTGTTTCACTATCTCGAAAATTATCTGCTTGTTTATCTTTTGCCATCACCTAATTTTGCACGACCACAGATCTCTGTAAGATGCCTTAAATTTTTTAAAGCATATAATGTAGAACTGACAATAGTGATTATCTTGTTGACGGACTTTAACAAACGCTGAATTATTCACTAGGAAATACACATGAAGCTCTTCGAATTCGTTCATTAGTGGCCAAAGCAACATTGTAAGGGTGCTCGTAATTACATCTTCGTTGCCGCGCAGGATAGACATCAATGTCACTAGCCTGTAATGAAGTTGGTATTTTTTAGACAAGATTGTAGTAATCACAGCAAAGACAAAGAGATTTGATTCAAGTCTTGATATGTAAATACATATATGATTTATTTTTTTTCAACAGAATATGTAAATTCATTGGACGTGATTAAAATTACTCTATCAAGCACTTTCCTGAACATAGAACATCTCTGAACAGCTCTTCGCAGGATTTTGGAATGGCTGAAAGACAGCTCTACTCTACAGAAGTTTGTACCTTGTACACTTTACAAATCTGTAAAACTTGAGCTTTCTACAAATAATAGGCCAATGCTCATTAATGAATTTGTCAATACTTTTAGAAGTTATTTTAAGGTTAGAGCCTAAATTTTTATATAAACACACTGCATTTAAGTGAGCTCTGACTTTCAGAAAGGTAAAGCTCAACAAAGTGCCCAAATCCATCACAAATAACATAATTAATTCACTAAGACACTAAATGCCTTGCAATCACATTTTTTGATCTAGTCTAAGTGCATTGATATGTAAATTTTACATATAATCCATAGATAGATTTTGTGGGTACTGTCCATTGATTTATTGAAAAGTATCTAACCATAAAACCGAAACTGTTTAACAAAAATGTCACAGCAAAGATTAATATGTAAATGTAGAGTCTCGCCAGGGAAACCATTCTGATCTGTTCCATTTCTTTTAAAATAATTAATATTTTTCAATTCATATGTAATGATGAAATAGCCTTCTTTTGCCGATCCATCACCTATCATAGTAAAAGGGACAATCTGAAAGCGTGGTTTCTGAAAAAAAGCTGAATCTAAATATCTAGTTTTGAAGTGATCTTGTAACATAAACTAATAAATGTAAGACTCGAGATCAATTTTATTATATACGCAGCACTACTGAGTGTTTTAGAAGGTTTAATCTTCTGAATCAGATTATTTAAAATCTTTATGGGTAGGCTGTTTGCAATGGTAACAGTAAACAGAACTGAATAGGATTACAAATATATACAGACTGCAATTAAAATGGAAAGAATATAAACTAGAAATAAAATTTGACAAGTGAGATAATTAATTAAATTAATGTAAAATACAAAACCCAGATTTCCATTTCGCCGAACTAGACCGAGCGCATATTTTTTTTCAGGCTTGTAATTGATTGTGATTTGTAAATGATTCTTGATATTAGATATTGTTCTCCATTTTTTCATTTGTTTAATAAATGCAATTTGCAATTACAATAACAAATGTCGTCAAGACTTGCACACAAGAAGATTCTGTGAATATGATAATTAGTTTTTGTTCACAATACAAAACATTTTTGTTTTTTTATTCTCGAGTTACGTAAATGAAATCAATGTTCATTGTAAAGACAACCTGAAAAAATTAATACAACACATTTCTAAAGAAAGTAATTATGATACACACCTATCAATGTGAGGATATTGGTCCTCTAATAAAGACAATACTCTAGAACCGAGACCAGACCCTGTACCACCACCCAATGAATAGAGAAGTAAAAATCCATGAAGCCCGTCACAACATTCAACAGCTTTTCGAATTCTTTCAGAAATATCTTCATAATGATGTGACCCATGTGAGAAAAAGCCTTCTGCCCTAAAACAAAAACTTTGATTCCATTCCTTTCGAAATTCCTGTAAGTTGTTTTGGTCATATTAGAAGAAATATGAATAAGTTACCAGTTATTACCAGATCCTGGATAATTGGTCAACAAACAATCATTATTGAAAAGTCCTCGAAGAGAACCTTTCCGAAACCGTGCAACCACACTATCTTCCATATCAATGCAAAGGGCCTGTAGACATTCTTCTAAATCAGTACTATGTTTAAGGTAACTAGTTCCATACAAATATAACTTACAAGATGTTGTATTCATAAATCAATTTGTATATGAATAATGGTAGGAGTTTCAGAATTTAAGGAAATGTACACAAAATATACTTCTCCCCATAGCATGTCACAAACATTAATTTACTGTTTTTGAAGTTAAATAAAATAAAAAAGATACATTTTATAATAAAATTTATTTGCATACCCGAGCTTTAATATTGGCACTTTCCAAGTCACTAATTGTCGATAAACTTTTGTACGAGATTTTTTCAGGACAACAAAAAAAACTACTAAATGATTCAAACATGCCAGGAAGTTTTGGAATCTGTTGAGAATTGGAGTGACGATTGTAATGAAATAAATCAATGCCATATTCTTGAACCGCACATTTCCAGAAGCAGTTACCAATTTGATTTCCACATTGGCCGACTGAAAGCAGAAGTTTAACAAAAATTCCATAAATACAATAATTATTTTGAAACTAAATTTCCATACCTATATAGACTCACTGAACAAAAATCATACCTTGAATTGTTATAAATTCACTCATCGATGCACTATTCTTGCTGATGTTCACAAATGTCAGGGTAGGATCTGTTTTAACATTTGATGACTGTAGCTCAATAAATGAAGACAATTTTGGGATTCCATCTATTTTCGTTCAACATAAAGATCTTATTTTCTATTGGCACAGATGTTCAAGATCTAGAAAATAATCTAACACATTTGTAAAGCGATAAAATGCTTTTAATTAATTCTCACATACTTACATTTCAAATTCTTTTGCCGCCGACAGTAAAAGTGCCCTTATTATTATGAAATGTTACATGTAATTTTCATTCCAAGGTGAATATTTCATTTTATGGGTTAGCACTTTGGCGGGACTTTTAGACCTGTATCATTACCAACATTCACATATTACACTCACTATTTCACTATTAACTGTTCTGAGAACTACAGTTTATGTTAATTTTTCATGCAATTTTGATATATATTAGTGTCTATAATGAGTGTCACACATTAATGTACATTTCTTTAGGCAAACATGTAGATTACACGCGCATGTAATATTTGGCTAAACTGGTGGAACTGTCAAAACATTTCCATTCTACTTACAGTATGATTTATGTAGTAGTGCACTTAACGTAAATCAGCTGCTGCAATATCATCGAAACGGGAGTTAATATGTCGCTACAGTGACATGGAGTATGGGGACGTTCCAGCTTTCGATTGGATGAAACCGTGAGCAGTTGATTTACGTCATGTGCATAGTTAAATAAATCGTTGTGTACTCGGAAATTGAAACTCTTTGCTCCGTGCCTTGTGCGTCTGCGAAGTCTGTGAGCTGTCTTAAAGCGCGGGCAACTGACTGACACGAAAGATTCGTAGTGATTCGTATTGTATCGTTTTGGTAGTGTATCGAAGTTTTATGTTATTGAATTTTTTAAGCTTTCTTGTCAAGAGGCCAAGTTCTTCTGGGCTACTGATTACAGAATAAAAGTGCGTGTTCATCTCGTTTCACCCATTCACCGCAAGTGAGAACATGTTCCCTAATTGTAACTAACAAAGTTGTATTTTTGGGCGTGCATTTTTGAAACGAAATCTGGCATCAAAAATGTCAGAAATAAGTAACTTAACAAGTAAGTACTTAATTTTTGTGTTGGTTAATATATTGGATTGAATAATGTAGCATTGGACACCTGGGAGGACTGAATGACGACATGAAAGTTTTCTTTAGCTTGTTCTTTCAAATTGTCAGTGATATAATATTTTATGTGCTTAAATTGGGGATAGTACTGAACATTTTGGAATTTCAAACCGCGGAGCCACTTTTTTAAAAAAACGGGAAAAGTAGTATTTCTAGAGACGTGAAAACTGGAGAATTTTTAAAAGAATTGTTGGAAGCAAGGGAAATTCATGATACTAAAAAGTTAGGTATTTTTTAATAAATATCATTGGTTTCATTTTATTGTTTGAGGTAACTTTTATTAGTTCAGCAAATACTGTAAATTTTGTTTCTTTTCACATGGAAATCAGAGCTGACAAACATTTGTTTGATGTTATAACTTTTATAATTTTAATTACACTGTTTTTATTTAACCCTTAACGTAATTAATTGAAGGATGCATCGTATGTAATTTAGACTTAAATGCTAAGTAATCTTAATATTTTGTAGGTTTTAGTCTGCATTCACAAGTATGTGAACAAAAATTGAATGAGCCTGTGAATCAAATGGGAAGATTTACGGTTTCTGGCATTTCAAAAATTAAAGCTGAAGAAATAAAGCATTTGTTGGCATCTGTAAAATTAAAACATGAGAAATATAACCTTCTGCAGCAATACGATTCAAAATCTGATTTACCAGTGAAGGTTATTAAAAAGGAATTATTGGAAAAGTATGCTTTTAATATGAATTGTCATGACTACAATCCTCAAGCTAACATTTTGTTTGGATTAAGTGAAATTGATGTTGATGGAGGAGCATCAACAGAGAGACTTAGATTTCCAGGAGAAGATCGTAGACAAACTTCAGATTTATCAAAGTCTATGAGGACAGGTATGAATATAATGTATTTCCTAGAGATTTTTTATATTGAGGTGAAATTGTTTTTGCACTTCTTGAACCAAAAATGTTAATGCTAACATCACTTGAATTTGCTGCATGACTGTATGTATATTCCAGAATATTCTGAAATATAATAGATACTTGGCTGTCCAGGAGACGCAGCATTCTAGACAGTTGCCAACATGCCCTGAACGTTCTCTTCTCCCCCCTGCCCAGGGGTGGTTTCCTGATTGTCGATGATCTGTCTAACCAGCAAGTGGAGGGGAGGGGAACCTTATTCTTTATAAATCTATGCGCAGTCCACTTCTATGAATTTTGCCCTGAGGAAAGCTGCAGTATTCAGCTGAACTGTGGCAACTGTGTTTAGCATGTGGAATCTCTTGGCAGGCATCTATCGATATTGTCTATGGAAGCCTATGCTTTCATTACTAGTTTGTATTTGTGTGAGACTGTTTTTTTATGTAATTACATTTTTTGTCTTTCTACTTATAGTTCTCAAAATTGTAAAATGAAGAATCGTCGCTTTCCTCGCACATATCCAAGCTTTTTTGTTACATATTTTTACATATTTGGCACCATATTACATATTTTGCTATTTTCACAAAATTTTTTTCCATCAATTTTATTACACATCTTTTATGAAAATAAGTATTTTTTTTTAATCAGCATTTTTTCATACATTATTGGTGAAATCTAGGTGTGCAGTGTATCATTGACGCCGTTTAAATACCTTTAACCGTAAATTTTGGCGATCGCCAAAATGTAATACTTTGATGAGAATGTTGCAACCTGTAGTGATTGTTTGCTGGTTGAAGATATTGAGTAGATGGTCAAGATAGCTAGTTAGTATGATGGCTTGTATTTTGTAAGGTGCATATAACATTGTATATCATCTTGGTCTAGCTGCTAAACTACGGTCCTGGATAACAATAGTTGAAGATTTTACTACAGACCGTAAAATTGTATGGTGCAAAGTGTGCATAAACTTATGTTCTCCAAATGCTTTTTAGAACGTTTGTATTGTTTTTAAAATTAGTTGAGGAAATTTTTTATCAATACAGTTTCGTTTTATGTAAATGTGTTTTGTAATTAGAGTATTCTACTATTACATATTCTTACTGATTTCATTATATATATTTATGTACATATTTTGACGTTTCATGCTACATATTTTTCCAGTCTCTAATTATAACAATAATTCTTGAATATTTTTTTATAAAGAAATACTTATTTTATCATTTTCAGATAAAAACTTGAATTGATATTAAATGTTTCTTCTGTTAAATTTATTTTGTGAAAAATACCATAATTTGTAATAGAGTACCTACATACTTAAACGTCTTGAAAGAACTGCAATGTATTTAAAAGTTTCATTTTCATATGTTCATTTCTTCTTTGTTAGTTATGGTCATTAATTGAGGCCTTGCAATCCCAAAGGTACTAAGTTCCAAAATTTTCGAAACTAAGTTTTTGACTTATAAATATTATATAAATTAGTGCCAATACACAGTTATGAGATCGATGTTCCAAACCACGGCATTATATCTTGGCTTTGCCAGGCCTCAATTAAACTTGTGAAGAGAACTAGATATTAAATTATACCTTCTAATATAGATGAAATTCTTTTAAATATCAGTACAAGTCTTATTTTATCTAATATAGGCTTTCAGGATGAGCTGAATTTTCACCCAAAGATATTACTCAAGAGATTTCAAGTTTTAAAAGCAATGGTGGCTCTTCACAATGAACAAGTTTCTACTTTGTCATGTTTGGAAGAATGTAAATTCACTGCAATGAAAGTTCAGGAGTTATTGTTACTGAAGCAGCAGACTGCAATAAAAGCTGCTGAAACTTATCACAAAGGACTTTTATCACTTTTTATAGATGCTCAGTAAGTCAGAATATATTACAGTTACACATTCCGTATCAGTTGTCTCTATATTACTAATAATTAACACCGTATGTTCTTATCTTGATTGTGCATCAGCATTGAAAAGTTGGTCTTCTCCACCATGACGTCTCATTTGTCAACTTTTTTAGTTTTTTTTGAACTTGAAAGTAATGAGCAGTTCAACAGGGTGCCAAAGACTGAGGAACAAAGAGTTGGTGGATGACTATTGTGTTCATTCTATCATTTCATAGTGTTAGACATTTTATTAGACCAATTAGTTAAGGTAATGTTAATGGATGGAACTAAATGGATGCCTGTTGTTATAGGTGGTCAGTGGTTACATCACTGAAGAGAGACCCCCCAGTTTTAGATAGTGTTTAACCAGTACTCTCCTTCAACATTTTTGTGGAGTTCAAAAGGATTGTCCGAACATGGAACATTGTAGATTCCTGAAATTGGACAATTTTTTTCCCCCTCCTTCATTTCTAAAAAAATCCATCATTTTCTAAAAAAAATTTCTTGTTCAAATAGAGAAAAAGGATTTTTATGAATATTAATGACGTTTTACTTTCAGGTTTTACTTTTGTTTATAGTTTTTCTGTAAGTCTGCCTTTACTGGAAGTAAAACTTTGTTTTACTTTCAGAAAAATATTCTACAATTTTTGAATATTTCAAATAGTAAATTATTTTCAAAAATGTTTTGTTGCTAAAAGTCAAATGCATTCCAAAATGCTGATGGCTTAGGAACTTTCTCAATCAAAAGCTTCCTTACTGTGTGAAATATATAATTATCTTTAAAATGAGGATAATTTAAATCAGTGATGTGAGTGAAAAAGAGAACAAAAGTCAAAATTGTTGTGAGGAAGTCCAAAGTTCAAAATGTAAAAGAGCAAATATTATAGCTGATGCAAGTAAAATTGCGGCAAACCTGTAAAGTTAACATTTCTAGTATATATTAAAAGTATTGTTTCAGGGTATGTTATTATTTGATTAATTGTTTGGTGTAAAAGAGTTTATTGTATGGTGAATTATTTTAATTTTACCCTTACAACCTCAAAAGTAATAGGTAACAGCCTTGACAATAATTTTTGAAATTTGAAACTTTACTGTCCACTTGCAAGTAATTTCAGTAAAACAAGGACTGAATAATAATACCTATGGAAGATTTCACTACCTCTTAGCAAACAAATCTTAATAATGTTTTGCTTTGAATTAGATTTGATTATGATGAACAGGCTTTTTGAAAATAATAAGTTTTCAATTATTTTTCAGGTTACTAAAATACTCTGTTTTAAAGGATTATTTCTCAGAAGATAAAGCAGTTGTAGATGCTTCAATTAAATTACGGGAATTGATTGCTTCAGACTTTGAGAATTTGAGGTGGAAAGAAATTGATCTTCAGAAGAAAATTGAAGACTTCAAACAACTGAAAGGGCCCAGATTTGATCAGTTGTTAAGGGAGTATAAACTTGTTTGCGAATCCATAAGTAACAAGGAGTGGACACTGCAAAATCTTCTTTGACTTTAGGGTAAATTGAAAGTGCCCCCCGTCTTGTAATATTAACATTTGTAATAATTTGATGTTATTATTTTTTAAAGCACTGTGTAAAATACATAAATAATGTACATAAATAAAGTGCATGTATATGTCAAATTTCCGTTTTCTGGAATGTAATAAAATCCCAGATGTTCTTAAATGTCCCCTGAAGCGTTTACAACCCTATTAGTTATTTCTTTGAGATTTTTTCTTCTTTTTTGGTAACTACTGAGGTTTTGTTAAAAATTCAAGCAAAAGAGGGGCATTATTTATATCATCAGCATTTATGTACTGGATATGTTCTTGAATGCATTCGATTTACCCATTAAAGACAAACGTTTTTTATAATTATTTTTCTAAATTTATTTTATAAATTATTTTAGGAAGGATAAGAACAAAATAAGTAAATCTTGTATTTTATGTAGAAAAATGTGTGCTCATATGGTAATTCTGGTCTTTCATTATAAACAATGAGACCAAAGTTTTCATGAATGAAAGTTACCTTGTATGAAATTAGGACAACTTGAACCGATAAACCTACTTTACATTTTGAACATTCTGTTCTACCCACACTGACAACCTTCCTCAGCCCATCTGCATCTTTTTTATTTGACACAGGTTGAATCATGAATTGATTATGGCAGGTTATTCTGTCACTTTACCCTTTTAGTCCCTAAGTTGCTCTAACACAAACGTTTTTTGTGTGTGTATGTGTATGTCTCTCTGTGTGTGAGTCTGTTTTTTAGATAAAATGCTATCGGATCAGTTTTTGGATGCGATCGGATCTATTCATTTGAAACATAGCACAAACTTATCTTGGTTGAATTTTGAAATTTGGAGATAATATAATGGATGTGTGTTATTGATAATCAATTTTTAATATAATTATTACTCAATACTTTTTTTACTATATATGTTACTTAACCCTACAGTGGTAACATATAATAAAATTTCATCAATGTTTGGTATGAGAGACCCATTCAACCATTTCTTCTGAATTGTTTACAGAAATGAATTTTTATTCTTTAACCCCCCCAAAAAATCGTATATATATACAATATAAAAATAAATCGGGCTCGGTTAAATAAATTCTTACTCTTTACGAACGCCTGATCTGAGCCAGTCTTGACTGAATACCAAATTTTAAGAGTTACAGATTTGATTGCAAAGGGTTTTCACGAGAAAAATTACACGGTAGGTCTATTTTTATGTTCCTAAAGCGTTCAACTGTGTCTGACACTCAAGGCTGAAATACAAATTCCGCCATTATGCATTCCCAAATATCTTCAAGATATAATTGGAAGTGTTGCTTAACAGATTATTTAATATTAAAATACGTGACACCATGCCGGCTAAATAGGAAATATCAGCTGGAGTTCTCACCGACATTGTCACAGACTTTTTTAAAAATTTAACTTGCCGATTTTACGGAATTAATGGATACTGAAATAGCCTTGTTCACAGATGGCACTGCCGTCCTCACAACATAAAGAACTGATTATTGCCCTGGAATACCTACAAAATGATTTAAATACCTTAATTAAATGGACCAATCAATATAGAATCTGAATAAACCAAAACAAATCACAAGCTAAATTTTTCGTGCTTAAAAGAGTTATAACTCCTCTAGTTTTAACAATCACTAACAATCTGGTTCTGTGGCTAAACAATAACCAACCCATCAAATACCTTGGAGTCAAATTAGATAGATGAACACGGAAGAACCACATAGTTGATACTGTTAACAACAAAAAAAGTGAAACTTTATCCCATTAATAAATAAAAACTGCATTAGGAATAGAAAATGGAGTAACAATGTATAAATTTATAATTCGCCCGTCGCTTACCTATGCATGCTCGTTATGGGGAGGTGTTGCCATCACGCATATTAATAAGTCAGAAATTATCCAAAACAATTTCCTAAGGCTGGTTACCAAATCTCTCTGGTTTATTCCTAATGCACAAATCCAAAGGAAATTAAACATTAGTTTCATTAAAGTGTACATAAATAAACTTTCAAATTTTTTTATTGAAGACTTGAAGCATGTCCTAGCAAAAAGAACTTTCAACCTTGCCCAACAGTTTATGCACCATCCAGGATATCAGCATGCTTATCAAAAGTTCGCTTAAAGCCGCCATAAGTTGCTGGTGAAAATGTTATAAATATTTTATGTGATTGTAGTAACTGTATATATGTTTAATTCCCAAGTGTGGTATTGCTTAATGTTATATTTTTGTATTAAATGTAAATAGGAACAGTATATAGATTAAAACATAAGCTTAAGTAAGTGTAATTGTGCCCTGATATAACTGAAAGAGACTGTTATGTTCTTTAAGTAATATATATTTTGTAAATAATAACCCCCAAATGGCCTAAAGAGCCAAACGGGTAGGAAATAAATTTAAAAAAAACCAAAAAAAAAAACCCTCTCGCTAACGCTTACGCAGTAGAGAGAAAGTTGAGAGAATACCGCGCCAAAAACGGTGAATTTTCGGAAAAAAAATCTCTTATTACAGGGCCCTTGTAACGAAAAAGTGAATAAATCCAGTTGCTAAATTTAGGACAAATTCCTCTTAACACATTGTGTATCCAGAATCCATGTTTTGAGGGTGTTTGATACCGAGAAATCGAATGGCGGCAAAATGTTCGTCCGAATGTGAACGCCAGCGGCTAATCCGTTCAGGCAATTTTCTCCAAAATTGATATGCCCCAATTGATCCGGCCAATGTCGCGCCGCCTTGAATTTAAAACCAATATTTTAATTTGTATTGAAATCCCTGAGATCCATTGCTTTTGATTACTTTTTTTTTGTTGAATAGCGTGAAGAGCGTTTAAGAGAATGGTTAGTGAAATATGTTGCTCAAAGATATCTTTTGAAATTATGTCACGCACAACTTTTCGAAAATTTTAAAGTACTTTTCGTGTAATTTTGGATGAAAGTACTGTTATTTTAGCACTAGTCATTGTGACCGTCCCATTTTTCTGTAGTAGACTAATTTCCTTTCATATATTATACACATATATTACATATATTATCTGAGACCCAAACTCTGTTTAACAAATGTTAAAAGAATAATCTTTTTGACACGAGTGGCGTTGTCACTGGAAATTTTATATTGGGTCGTGAGACTGAAGTTCCCTCCTGTACAGGGAAGGAAAAAATTATATTTCTCATTATCTTATTGGTAATGGGGGGTGGGGATTAACTTTCTTAATCTACAGCCAAAGGAGACATTTTTCAACTATATATTCAGTACCATTTTTGGTGGTACTGTTGTTTGCTTGACGGTGTTAATCTTCGCTTTCGCCATTTTCTTCTGTGACGCTACCAATAAAATCATTACACAAAAAACAAAACTGTATACAATTTCAAAATAATCTAAATTTAACATTCGCGCTTAACAACAAAATATTTACACTATTCTCATCCATACCGTGTACATTGTTAGTTAGATGACCATGTACATTGTTTAAGCTTTACTAAATCTGCTACAATACTTGGCCTTCTTATAATTTTATTCCGTATGCGCGGTTAATATTTGCAGGATGTTCACTTCCCTGACTGTAATAGCGTTGCCGTCGGCTTGCAAATCCGTTCCATCCACCATTTCACCATAAAGTTCTATCAGCTGGTTTCACCGTTCTATATTTCCACACATCCTCTGCGTTTCTCCGCTACCTACTAGATGCCGTATTTCCGACTCTCAATACACCTTCTGTCTGATAACAAATTACTCTCCCAAAAACACAATAACTTGCCAGCACATGGCGGCTTGGAATCTATCATCCATTTGTGTCCTTTTCAGACAGTCCAGTCTTTCGAATGTTTTTCATCAATAAAAAAAGTTCGCTTTCCTCTGTCACCGAGATCGTCTTGCAACATTTTATATTTTCTTTACCTCTATTCTGATTTGGCATTTATGAGGTTCTGAAAATGTTGCCTTTTAATTTGCCGCCTTCCCCAAAGTTCATTGCCCACTGGTTTACCTGCTTTGCCGAAATTAAAAC